GCCCCCCCCCCCCTCTTTCTGTCCCACGACCAGCTTTGCCTGATCATGAGCAAAGTTGCCAGGTGAATCGATAAAATGAGGGCATTTTACATAAGTTTAAATGGTACAGAATACTGATTTTTTAGCACCACCTGCCAACAAAGTGCACGAGCTCGGTATGCGTGCGCGACCTGCGAGCATGTGACATCTCTGAGGTCCAAATTTTGAGGTTTTATATTTGTATCTTTATGTTTTTACGTTTCTAATAAAGGGGCTCTTGCATATATGCCAAAAAGGATAGCAGTGTATGTACATTTAATTTAAAACAATTCTGTGAAAAACACTATTAAGCCCTTCACTTTCTGTGAACGAACTCTTGAGCTCCAAAAAAGGTCTTAAAGTTGAGGCCTATATGGCTACCTATGTTCACGTCCCCGCGAAATCCATTGTAGGGTGGCAATTAAAAACCTAGTACTTAAATGCAATCAGGAGTTCGTAAAAATATGTTACCATCACCAGCACTCAAAGGGAATCTTTAGTGACCTAAGAATAGATATTTACACATCATGACATTAAAATAAAACAACTTAAGTCACGACTACCATACCGACATATTCCATCGCAGAGCTTAGCTTTATTTGTTAGTAATGTTGTTCTAGGACCAAAGGCATTTGGAAAGTTTAGGGAACGCCCAAAGAAAGTTAAAGTGTCATTGAAGTCGTGAAAAATTTAAAAAAAATAATGGAGCTTTCAGACAGTACCGACGGTGGAAAAATCTCATAAAATTGATTTTCACGTAGACCCTGCGTAATTTTTCTCGATTTTTTTCTCTTAATGTCTCAATGTCATCCCTATTCATACAAAATTCTCAAGGCAAATTGAATGAATATTGTTTTTCCCCGCTCTTAAAAAGAAAGCTCGGACTTTTATAATTTTCTCAACATTTTTGTCGAATTTTCGTTTAGTCCACGTTACAAGGTGATGAGAGAAATATTGATCAACCCATGAATCATAATTTTTCACCATCAACGAAAACAAACACACTGAGACCCGACAATCAAATGTTCAAAAAAATTACATTACTTTATGGCGTTAGAACCTGTCCGTCAATGCTATATCGTTATCTCCACGTGTATAGAAAAATGCACGATAAGATTCGCAGAAGCGAGGTTTCGTAGTCAGCTTCTTTTAAAGCACATCCGAATGAGTCGATTCAAAAACCCAGCATGCTCATTCCTAGCTGAGCTCTGAAGTTCGTAAGAATGTTTACAAAACAGGGCTCAGCAGAAAATTGACATGTTTTATTTACAAACCCATGGATTCAGCTGTTAAAGCTTACAATTAGCTGCATGTTTATCAGCCTGACGGAGGTCGAAGATGGGTACCAGCATCGATACATTGCCAAATACTGCCTTGCTGAGGAAGAACGCAGTATGAGCCTTTAGACGTCGCCAAGTTTTCCTTGATAAAATACGAATTTTTCAGAATAAGTTGGAAAATTTTTCCTCCAATTTTTCCCAAGATCAGATCTAAATTCTCTGAAAATTTGAAAAGACAATATGCATAACTCTTCTCACAAATATGTATTTATCGGAGGAAATGTGGCAACTCTCGAATGTTCATACTGCGTTTTTCCTTAGCACGGCAGAAAAAGCGGCAGACCTGAAATGAAGTACTTCTCTATCAGGCCGCTCCGTGTTTTTCTGATCCCTCGTTACTGAAAAATTTCTGCAATGAGTCAAGATCATTCGACGAACGGTATTAAGAAAATAGGAGGTAAAATCTGGTAAATGCTTGCCGAAATTTAACTGTCTGGCCGCATTTATGTATAGCAACTTGTAGTGTAGGGGAGTCCGTTGTGGATATATTTTGTCACTAAAACAACAAAGTGGAATGAAATGTAAAAAAAAAAACTCACGCAATAAAAAGCAAGAAATGTAACGTAGGGTATAAATAAACTATCCCAATTAATTTGCAGTGTCATAAAACCTGCATTTAGGGGCTTGGAGGACAAGGCGCCTAAGTGCATCTTTTGAAAAACTGAGACATGAATGATTACAAGTAAAACTATAGTTCTGATGCATATTGTGTGAAAGATTTGCTCCCAAATTCCAATTTTTAAGCATCAAAAAGTCAGTTTGAACTTTCTTTCCGCCATGAAGATCCATGCTATTTTGAAACTTCAAACACGTATTTCTCGAAATATCAAAAACTACACTTATGCGCTTTGTCCTCCAAGCCCCTCCATTAACAACCTCATCGAACAGTTTTTTCCTTTTACAATTTGTATGTGAGTATAAATGACTTTTAGGTGAATGAAGTATGTGATGTATCACGTTAACGCTAAGAATATCCTCTACGCGTGGGAACAAGCATCTTCGAATTTAAAAAAAAAAAAAAAAAAAAAAAAAAAAAAAAAATTCTTGAAACTTTTTTAACGTTCATTGAAGACAAAAAAATTTTTTCAAAGTGGCAACCGTTCTTTGGGCCTAGGGGCATAACTAGATTTTCGTTGCTCCAAGTCCTTTTAAAAAACGGAGACTTGCAGATTTGGAGAGTCACATGTGCTGTGTTGAAGTTGTTTCAAAAGTAAAATTGCATAACAGTTTTAGAGACATAGTGCGAATTGAAGCAAGGCGCCGAAATCGGCACCGCAAGTAGAGGCTTCTGAGAGGCACCTATTGAAAAGTAATTAGTTGACACAATGAGTGAAAGAAGCCACGTTTTTTTTTGTCGCGGGGAAAACAACCTTCATGTAATGAGCTCATGACATCAAGTTTCAAAATATTAGTTTGTGTTTGACACACTTTCATTTTGAGTCTCTTTATTTTAGCTAAATATTTGTTGTTCGCCACAGCAACAGTTATATGGGCTAATGCCACGCGTAATTCGACTTAAGGGGGTTAAAGGGGCACTAAACGCAAGGAAGTTACTTACCTTACAAAAGGTCGATTACATGTACCACCGCCACCGCACACGATTCACCTAAACAAACTTCCAAGTTGTGTAATGGAAATGGGATCATTCCCACTTCAAAATCAGCTGAAATAGGAAAATGTTTTACAGACAAAACATGCTTACTTAGATATTTTTTAAATTTTTCACTTTGACATCATTCAACGTTGGAGAACTTAAATTTAGTAATTCTCACAAATTGCCTTCTCTTTGAGACTGTTTACAGTCATAAATTATGGATCAAGAAGACAAAATTAACTCGAGTTTACAGAGGAGGGTGATAGGAGTCTGACATTTGCCTTACGAAAGGTCAACGCCTCAGCGTTCAATAAACTTTTTCATGCTGTAGAATATTGCAGGATTTTTCAAATGGAGCATAAGGAACGCTTGACAAAGGGAAATATGGGAGCTAAAAATTTAATAACTTCAGCGCTAAGCTGAATTTAAGATGCAGTGCTCCTTTACATTATTGTAAAATGTATTACTCCAAAATAATTAAATGTTGCCCAATAATTGATTGCTGAGCTTAGAGATCAAATCCATCAACTTCTTCGAGCTAGAGAAAAACTTCCTTTATTCAAGGTAATTTTTCTTCAATCAATGAGAGTAACTCTCAGCAAATGAATTTTTCTTTAAGCCGGAAAAAATATGAGTATTTTATATTGAAAGTTATTCTTAATTTAATCTTCGTCAATTTATTGGATCACAGAACACCCAGAAGTATCAAAGAAACCATCACAGACAAGTTTTTAGAGGAGAATCATCAGTATTTCAATGATAGTCTTGTCGTTTTTGAAATGAAGAATACGAGTTAATTTTTTTTCTCGAGAAACTCGATCCGCTTCACGTATCCTCAGTCGTGCAGTGTGATAAGTTGCCTACCTTGTAAATGAAGGCGCTTTGAAACGTTATGCATTCATGCGGTATGCGACATGTTACTGCGTCCTTACATGAGTCATATGGTAGCATTTACGGAACCTACTAAATAAATGAACAAATGATGCAAGAATAACATTGCGATTCCATGTTAGATAAAATTGCAATTTTATTGCATCAAATTTTAATTTCATTTCAGTATTTTCGTTGCTATATGCTACTTAGATGCTTTATTTTTAATCTTGTCAACTATTTCACTCTCGGATTTTCTAATAATGATTTTGAATTCAACTTTGTTTCGATTGAACTATATTTTAAGGTAAGTTATTTGTGGTTATTTCGGTCACGTAAAAATCAAGCACAAAATCAAGAATATTCGTTTTCATTTCCAGATCGCGGATGGAAAATGACCCGCCGCAGAATTTGGAGACGTTTATAATGGCTTAAAATGGGAACAGGTTGGAGATGGTTATACCTGAATGCACTCGGATTCTCCCTCTTGATATCAGGCGCTTTCATCTTTTGGGTAATCATCCCGAAAAAGGTTGTCGAGGAAATTGCAAAGGTATAAAATGAAAACATGTTTTAATGATGATCTTTGGTTCATATCAGTTGGACATACCAACGCTGAGTACTACTACACATACATTTATTTAGTCTGAAATAAATTCATAATTGAATACAAATCGGAGAGCGATGTACATAAAAAAATATAAATGTAGGAGTTAATCCTTGGTAGGGACTTCTAATGTCTCTGCTGAAATGTTCAGTATTTCTCTTTCTAATTTTTCATTATTTTTACATTTAGATTTTACTGGCGTTGCGTATAGAGCACCAATTGTAATAAAAGACAACGCCATGAGATGACATTTCAATTATTAGCAGGCTGACGGTTTTGTTATAAACAATGATGATGAAGCCATATGCATATTTCTGTGGAAACTAATGTTGGGGAATATGAGAAAAAAAGAAAAAAAAACTTAAAAGGATTAATTGGACCAACCCTCAGCTGTCATGAGTTTTCACCTATTTGTTCCAATATAATGCACTCACAGGCAACCCTTATAAAACGAGTCTAAGTGTCAGTATTTACTCGTATGACGGAATATTTTTCTTCTTAGTGCACTGAGAGACATCTCTATTTAAATCAGAAGGAACTTAAATTGTTTATTTTCTGCAAAAGAAACCGGTTGCGTCAAAACGAATCTAAATTTTTAAAAAAGAAAATGAAACGTGGCCGATTGTTTAGAAGAGAAATTTCTTTACATTTTTTTTCCAAACGGCTAGACTTTGTTTTGCGGAAAATAGTCAATGCAAATTTTTCCTGATTTACATAGAAAAGTATCTCACAATCAGGGCAAAGAGAAACTACTGACTGGTTTTCTTTTATTTAAATTGTTTTCTGAGGTATCATATTTTTAAGTACAAAATCGTACATCTGCCCGCCTAAAGGGCTGCAAAAATTTGGTATTTTTTAATTGGACAGATTTTTATGCCCTATGTTCTTTTCTTTTTTTTTTAGCAACAAGCACTGGTAAATGGCTCAGAGGCATGGGAGCGGTGGGTCAACACTCCACTTCCCCTCGATTTCAAAGTTTACATTTTCAATGTCACGAATCCAGACCAAGTCACTCTCGGAGAAAAGCCCCGAGTCGAAGAAATCGGACCATTCGTTTACAAGTGAGTGTACTGTAAAATATTGAGCTTGTTGTTCAATCGATATTAACAGGCGGTATTCAACTTTTTTGTACCGAAACTTGAAATAAGTTCTAGCATTAATAACAATGGCAGTCTTCAGCTTGAGTATCAACGTGCAATTTTTCTCCTCAAATCTTCAACATGACAACATGACATCGTCATCAGCTGGACAAACTTGAAAGTTTTAAGTATGTCCAATTGTCCACTGCCCAGTTGCACATATTGCAATGTATTGAGATTAAAATAGTGAAATTATTACCACCTACTGCATCATATTGTGAGTGTTGTGTGTGTTGCCTATTTACTAACTGAAGGAGCTCCTTTCACGGAAATGTATTGCAGTAAAATTAAAATAAGTTGTAATTTTTCCTTGCATTGTAAATTGCTTAAACTTTGTCTGATTGTTTAAAATTTTCATATATTGCTTAATGAATGGTGTAAACATTACGATTCTTTGTTGAAGCTTAGCAGTCACAGCTTCAATTCAGTATTATCTTAACAAAATTCTCCTTGAATCGGTGACGCCATGTGGCATTGCCACCCATTTCGACACATATATTGAAGGAGATAAGATCATTCAGTCAAACCTCCTCAAGTAATGATTCAACTCGGTATTCGAAGATAGTCTCATATACTCACCTTACCCACTGGTTTACATACATAAATAAAATTCATAATTTTCGGATCACGTAAAAAATGAATGATAGGTTTAACTGTGTCGATGTGGCGTCAACCACCAAATGAGATTGATTTCTCAATATTTCTGGTAGAGATAACTTGAAGTTGGTCGCCATCACTAGCAGTCTTATTGTTTATTTTACCAATTTTCTTGATTGGCGCCAAAATCAGCTATGAGTATGGTTTAATCTACCATTCTTTTTTCACCATGTATATCTGCAAATTCCTCCACATAATGACGATCTGACGCCCTGAAATAAAAAAAGTTCACAATATTACATGTAGTCAATAGTCGGATTGAAGGGGAAGGAGGACACCCGGGGCGTTTGTCCTCCGCGTTTGCCCGAAAAAAAGGAGGAAGAAAAAGGATAAGAAGAGAGATGGAAGGAACGGAAGAGAGAAAAGGAAGGATGCTTATAATATTTGGTAATTATTCATGACGAAATTGACACAAACAGCATATTTGATCCTTGAAAATTTCAAAAATTTTCTAGGAGGGGCCCCCGCTCCCTCCTTCCCCCATCCAAAGTGCCTGGATCCGCCTAAGCTGTAATCATCGAACGCTTTTTCCCTTTATGATATAATTTTTTTTTTTGCCTGAGAGATTTACAGCCAGTGGCGTGCCGTGGATGATCGACTATCGATATTTCCCCATTTGAAGCTGCGGTGAAGAATCGATTGTTAAGGTGTTCGTTGCGAACACCCTGTCTACCGATCCATTTCCATGTGTTTAAATGGGACATCAATCGATATGTCGCAAAGCACGCTACGCCACTGAATAAAGACAGCACAGATCTGTAGATTCTTCCTTTTGAGTTGCTCAGGGGGAGTTATCCGCCCCCTTGCACTTTAATAATCGCACCGAGTATATGCATCATTGATTCTTTTTTCAGAGAGTACAAGTACAAAACGGACGTCCGGAAGAATCCTAAGAGAGACACGATATTCTACAGACAGCGGACGCGATTTGAGTTCGACGAGGCCAGGACGTTGCCGCTCTCGCAAGACGACGTTGTCACTGTGCTCAACCCGGCATTGATCGTAAGTTATAAAATCTCCGAGCAGTATTGATTTTTAAAAGTTGGCAACACTGCTTTCCCTCCAATTAAACGTATGTAAAACAATCAATTTTACGGTGACGTAGACAGCTTAACTAGAATCGATATTTTTGATGGGTTTTTACGGAGCAAAAGCAGTGTTGCCAACTAAAAAGTATCGACACTGCACTGGTAAAAAAAGTAGCTTGGATCTAGAGTCCAGACTCTTAAAACATTGATAAGAAAAAATACTCTCGATTCGATCGGATTTTTCCTTGAATCGAAGAGCCAAGACTCTTGATTTAAGCGGATTTCCATATGAATCAAAAGTATTTTTTCTTGTCAATGTTTTTAAGAGTCTGGACTCTAGATCCAAGCTACTCTTTTTACCAACGTGATTCCGAGCCCTGATCTGACATGCGCCATTGAAAAGTGGACGTCATTTTGCAATAAGGAACTAAAATATTTGACCCATCCGTAAAAGCACCTTTCTGCATTGATATATTAATGGCACATATTTTATCTCTAAAATAAGCCAAAAATGGTAGTTCCTTATTGCAAAATGTGGTCCAAATGTCGTTTAAGCAGCGGGGTTTGCAATGCCGAAATATTTCGTTGTCTTCATTCAAAGTTTGTTTGAGGGAATAGAGTCCTCGTAGACTCTAATTTAAACTTAGAAAGGCAAATTACTTGGGATACTTCGGTGATAGAGGTTGAAAATTTGAAACATCGCAATAAGGAAGCAAGTTATTTCTACTGCTGTATTGATGTTTGGAAAGCCCACGGAGCATTCGTGAGTTTTTATTTCGAGCGAATCTTAAATGACTTAAACCCAGAAAAACAGAGTAAAGGGAACATTGCCAGTCTAACTCTGCTGAAATAGGATGAAAATATAAATGCAAGGGATTCTCCGCAATAATAAATTTACGGCCTGCATGGTTGTCTTTTATGGCGGAAACGCAATTTTTCCACAACTCTGTTGTCTCTAACTAGATGCGTGCCTAAAAGGTTCTGAAATCATGAATGCTGTTTTATGTATTTGAGACGGCTTTCAAGGATGTGGCAACTTTATTAGAACATTAAAAACTTTCCTGAAGTAAATATAAAGGACACTGAGATAACTGAACCTGCTGGGGGAAGCAGTGGGAGGTCAGAGTTAATTGGAAGCGGATTCGACCATAAAGTCTATTTAATATGTTTTTCATTTCCAATAAACTTTTCTCTCGAAAAGCATAAAAGTAGGTTTCAAAATTGACGCAGCATTACCCTTATCTCGGAGAAAATTGATTTAACTAAATGGGATTGCATATTCTGCGTGCATGGAGAGGTACATGATAAAAGCATATACAGCAAACGAAGAAAATGAAAAGTTAACGGAAAAGCTAACGGGAAACTTTGTCTCTCAGAGAGAAAAAGAAATGCACTTTTTTGGTTTTCCATTTACCTAATAAGAAGAAACATAGAGTGTTTACTTAGATACTTTTCAACTATTGAGATCCTTGATACTTGTATTGGGAGAAGTTATTGAAGTTCAATATATGTTTTTAATTTTTTCTTCGACGGTTATTTTTTCAATAGGATCAAATCTTTTTGGCGTGTGTCCAACCACAGCGGCATGCATGGAGATAATACTTTACGGTTCTCTTCCCGAATCTGAGAATGAAAAAACCTTTTTAAATAGTCGAAAATAAAATTCGTCTATGTTTAATTATCCGAGCGACTGAAGAGAGTCTTTCGGATGATAAGTATGGCAATTCAACAGAGAAGCCTATTTCTGAGCCTATTTTCTCAAAACGTCATGTTTGCACTTACGGCTCTCTTCGCTATCACGATCACGGTAGTAGAGTGGTAGCTTTTTTCCTGGATGCAACTATTCGTTCTTTGCGGATAGCCGTATTCCATGTATTTGAATTTAAAGGCGTTCCAGATTCACTGGCTCTATCAGTAGCAGAATAGCAAGGATCTAGGGATCTGTTTTACCCCCAATGAATTAAATTCTCCGATTTATGTTGTGGGGCTTATTGCATGGATTTGAATTTGAAGGCGTTCCGGATTCACTAACTCTATTAATGGCAGAGCAGCAAAGATCTGGGGATCTGTTTCACCACAATGAACCAGATGTTTCTCCTGTACATGTTGTAGGGATTCTTGCATATGTTAGAATTTGAAGGCGTTCTAGGTTGAATGACTTCATCAGTGTCTGAATAGCAAGGAATCTCTTTCTCCCCCAATGAACTAACTTTTCCTCAGGTTTATAGAGTAGAGCATATTGCATGAACTAACTGTTTCTCTTGTACATGTTCTCCGGTTTATGTTGTAAAGCCTATTGCATATATTATGTGAATATGAGGGTTTTCCGGGATTCACGGGCCCCATCATTGGCAGAATGGCAAGGATCTGTGGATCTTTTTCACTCAAATGAACTAACTTTTCCTTCGACTTATGTTTCAGGGCCTGGTAGAGACGGTGAGCCGAATCCCATACTTGCGGAACATATCGATGCCTCGGCTGGATCGGGTGATCCCGGACATGTACGGGGACCCGAAATCGGTGTTCATCACTCTCCCGGTGCGGGCGCTTCTGTTCGAGGGCCTCCTCATCAAGTGCAACCACTCGGCCTCCGTCTTCATGGGCGACGTCCTCCTCGTCTGCAGCGGCACCAGGAGCATGATGCCCATGCGAGCCATCACCGAGACCAAGGATCATAACTTCATCATCTCACTCTTCGGTTATGTAAGTGCTGCACAGTAAAAACAAATAACCGACATTTTGTTTAACATTACTTGCGGGTCGATTATTGAAATTCATAGACAAAGCTATAGACAAAGAAGACAAAAGGGATATGGAGGGATCCTTTAGGTGGAAGCGGGTGGTTGCATTGGACAGAGGCTAGTAGGTAATAGATTAACTAACGGCAGCCCACGAGAAACCCGATAGTTAGTCAATAATTTTCTCTCCCAGTCTACAGGGACCACACATTTCAACCGATAGGATCGATTCATACTCCCTATGTCCTTCCTGTATCCCGCTTTGTCTATATTCAATAATCAGCCCGCTGAACATCTGTGCGCTATGGTTTCATGGAAGTCTTGCATGTCATAGGGATTTGCGATTTAAGTGTATTACACGTAAAAATTTATGAGAGACACGATGATGCCACTGGTTTTCTCTGAGATCAACGCCAAGCTCAAAAAAAGCTCTAAAAGCTCAGGCCGTAATGGAGAGGATATCCCATGCTACGTTGAGAGTCCACCCCTATGTCCAGTCAAACTCTCCGTGCGAAGATAGAGAGCAAATAAAATTAGCAGGTTTACGACTTTGTTTGGGAACTCCACAGTTGGAGCCACGGCAACCCTACTAATGTATTTGCCACCTATATTCGCCGGGAGATATTTACTGGGTATACAGGTAGACTCTCAACGTAGCGATGGATATCCTCTCCATTACGGTCTTAACTTTACGAGCTTTTTTTGAGTCCAGGATTTGATCTGAGAGAAAACCAGTGGCACTATCCCTTTGCTCGTAGAATTTTAGATACGTGGAAGTATTTAAAATGCAAATCCCCGACATGCGCATGAGTTCCGTTATGAGTCTTCATTTCAAATCAAGAATTTTCAATATCAGGCCACTGGATACCCACTAAATGAGAGATCAGTTACACAATCTTAGCAAGACCAGCGGGATGATTATTCAAATTTGTGGACACAGCGATGGACGAAGAAAGCAGAGAGAAAATGGAGCAATCCTATTGGTAGAAGTGGGTGGTTGGCAAGGAAAAAAGAAATTCACGAGAGACCCTCCCCTTAGTCTAATGGCAGCCACCCGTTTCAGCCAAGAGAATCACTCCAATTTCCCTTTGTTTTCCTCATGTATCGCTAGTATATTAGTTTCACTAATATTCTAGGTTGAAAAACCTTTTATGAATTGAAAAATTATACTTTCTCAAACTTGTATTAACGCGTTGAACCGCGTTGCATAAGTTTTTAAAGTTCGGGCAAAGTTTCCAAGAACACTAAGGCTAAGTTTATAGATCGTTGGAAATCCAATCGAAACTGTCGCTCATTATGCAATTAGTTCGAGGTACTTTTCTCGTCGACTAAACGGGTTTCTTGCCTTTTAATGCTCCAGGAAGAAAAACTGTGACACCACTGCATGACAGTGGTAGTTAATACGATTTTGTCCTGAGCGCTATTTGCGATACCAAGGAAAAACACCGTATAAGCCATCAGGCGTTGCCAAATTTCCTTCGACAAATCACGAATTTTCAGGAAAATTTGCGTACATTGCTCTTTCGATTTTCCTGGGGATTTCGTGCGTAATTTGATCGAAAGGTCTGAAAAATGCAAAAAAAAAAAAAAAATGTTCATGACTGACTTTAGAGATAAATATTTTCTGACAGGAAATTTGGCAACATTCGAATGATCACGGCGTTTTTTCGTTAGCACGGCAGTATTGGTGAACAAGAATAAAACGTTGACCACGCTTATCGTTTTAATTTTAAACGTCCCTTCCCGGGCGTCGCGTCGCCCCCGTTCATGCAAATCCCTTATCAAGGAATTCCCACCTTGAGTCGGCTCCCCAAACCGCCGCGGGATTTTCATCCGAAGGTATAAAGGCTTAAGTCCCACAAGCCTCCCCCCTCTCTCCTTCCCATTCAGTAATTAGTCCGGCTCTTAGCCCACCGCATCCATTCGTTGGTGTCCGGTCCCCCGTCATTTCCTCCTCGAATCCCATTCAATTATTCCCCCATTTCACACTTAATTAATTAAATTGAAGCTTTGTTTCGAACGCCAATCGTTGCGAGCTAGCATTCAAACGGTGATGCGGCCAATCAAGCAGGGATTACACATTTTTTCAGGTTAAGGCGTTGTTTCAAACTCCTGTGAATTGTCACGTAAGTTCTGTTTTTGGGAGAAGAAAACCCAGTGCTCCAATTCCATGTCCGTCAAAAATTCCGGGGCTCGGAACTTTTTTATTCCAATCTCTCCCACTCTATGACCGTCAAAAGTACCGGGATTCTTTTTAGATTTTTTCACAACTTCCGAGAAACCTCCGGAAAATGCAAAAGATCCGAAACATCTCGGGAATTTCAGAGGTTCCGGGAAAAATTCAGAAAAATCTTCAAAGTTCTGAATTTCGGCACTAGTTCCGGGAGAGGGATCGAGCACTGAGAAAACCCCTGATGGGTATCAATGAGGTTGATAACAACACTTTCAATGATTAAAGAAGTCAGATGTAAACTTATTCGACTGCTTGTAATTCGTCTCCATATTTCGCAAATTGAAAAACGCTGTATCTTGAATTTAGTGTGAGAAATTGCGAAAGCATTTTCTTACACGTGTAAACCCCTTTCTGAAGTTGTTCAGAGTGCAAATAACTCGATTTTTCCAAATTGATCGTAGAGATTCCTTAGCTTTTAACTACGGATATATAATGATGTCAAGACGTAAGAACTTAAGAGAAGAGGGATAAGTTAGAAGTACCGAAACCTGTGGGGGTCAGTTTTCCATCATTTGGCAAAAAGTAAATACAAAAAGTGTCATTTTAGGGCCTTTGAAAGTTGATACAAATAGATAAACCACGATTTTAAAAAAAAAAAAAATCTGTTAAAGTCAGCGGATTCTGTGGCAAGTTTATGTGTTATGGGCATGTGGTTTTGCGCTGTTTCGAAAGCGAGATAGGTTGTTTTCTTTTGGTCTGTGTACATTTATTGTTTGGAATTTTTCACCAATTTGTTGTCAACGTACCTAATGTAGAAGTTGGAATAACATATGATTTTTGTCCTACGAAAAAGCCTACATACATCAATTATACATCGGCGATTTAACAACAGAGCGTCAATACAGTGTAATTCGCTCACCTCCGGACAATACTCCACTTCACAGATCCCGGGAAAAGCGAGACCCATGAATTCCAACTCATTCGCGGTATCGACAAGGATCAGTTGCTGAAACTTTTGAGCTTAAACAGACTGAGCCTAACAAAATTAATTCCAGCAGCTACCGGACCAGATGAGCTTTTTGCCTATTCAGGTTTACTTCCATAAGGACATTGAGAAATCGTAAATTCGGCAATTCTTTGGCCAATGCCATGTACTGGTCGAAAGTCTGGCAGTAAATCAATTATCTAACGGACTCCCCCCTCCTCCCCTCCTTCCTGTCTTCTACGTACCGTGATCGGGCCCAACTTCAGAGAAGGGGTCGGAATTTTCATTAATGGGCTGTATCGTCGCTCCTCTGACGTAAGGACGTATCGCAATTTCTGCGTGAGCCCTAAAAACCGTGGAGTTATATGGAGAGTAAGGCTTAACTTCGAAAGGAGTGACGTTCTTACGTTTGAGGGGCGACGATATCTCCTCAGGACACCCGTCGGAGGCGTGGATTGATCGAGCCCTCATGTGATTGAACGGACTACGATGATTAAATCAGTATTAATATAGAGCTTCTATGGAGTTCCTGTAAAAGCGGGGGATTTGAGATTAAACGGATTATCCCTCAGTGAAATTTTGCGAGAAAATCGTCGATGCCGATGTTTTTGTCGAAAAGCAACTTTCAAGCTGATGGGAAGCTCGTAAAGTTGAGGGCACGAGGACTAAAGTTTAACAGAAACGCACCAGTGGCGTGTCGTGCTTTGCAATACATCGATTGATCTGCCATTTGGACGCATTTCTGTCAAACGGAACTATGTGCATTATGACGTGAGCCCTGTTATGCATGTATTCTTGTGGGTCTCAGGGCTCATGTCTTAATGCACATAGTTCCGTTTGACAGAAATGCATCCATTTAAACCTATTGAAAAGGATATATTATCAGGGTGTTTGAAAGAACACCCGATAATCGATTCTTTATCATGGTTTCAAGTAGGATATAATCGATCGATGATTCGCGCCTCGCCACTGAAACGCACCAATCGGCATCAAGTTTGAACCGAGAAAAAAATGTTTTTAGTTTTGTTTCTTCATGAGACTTAATTTAAAGTACCTAACTGGACAAAAATTGACCTCCTAAAAATTTTCTTTGATGGACTAAGGTCGCTCCTCCAGTAAATGGTCACGAATGAAAAATAAATAAACAGGTTGTCCCATGTTTAACCAGCAGTATTTTAGAAGGCGATTCTTTAGGTTAAAATAAGACTTTTCCTGTAAGTTCAGATGAGTCTTAAAGTTAAACTCTACGAAGCCACAACCACCCAAGGTCTTATAAAATATTCGTTTTTTCAACTTTTTAGGCCAATTTTAGGTTCGCACGGTCATGAAAATTTGGTCTTCATAATAAAAATTACTGCTAGCTACAAATTTGCACGCAATTTATGACTATAACTCCTCAAATTTGAAAGTAAAAATCATCTTTTTTTAGAATTTTGGGTTGGAGATTAACTGTGAGACTCATGTTTACAGAGAAAAAGGCCCATCAATACCTACAGAGTTGCGCTTTGAAATTTCGTTGGTCACCCCAGGGATACCTTGCATGTAGAATAGATCATATCGATAGTACAAAACCACGTATCTTTATTTGCGACGTTGCAGGTTTCCGGTCATAATTTTTTTTCTGTGGAAACCTAGTCAATTTAATTTCTTGAAAACTTCCTGGACTCTTCTTCTCTATTAGCAGAAAATTCCCTAGAATTTTCAAGCAATCAAGTTGGCTTGTTTCTCTTCGGAAAAGTAACATAGAAACAGAGATTTTGCACTTCAGCCATCGATATTTAGACCACATTTAGAATATATTGAGAATTTATTTTGTGTTTGCAGAAGAACAACTCGGACGAGGGAGTGATGGAGGTGCACAGTGGAGTGACACGGCCGGACCTGATGGGGACTCTGGTGAGCTGGAACGGGCGAGAGAAGACGAGTGCTTGGCCGGAGCCCTGCAACCAAGTCACCGGAGCCGATATCACGCTACCGCCTTCTCGCCCAGCTCACCACAAGCAAATCCTCATATTCAGCACTGACGTCTGCAGGTCAGTAATACAGCGAGAGAAAACGCCGAAAATACGCCTTAAGGAAAACTTACCGATATTTTGTGTTCATGTGGGAGGTAGAACACAAAATATCCCATTCGTGTGGTTGGTTAATTGGTTATTCTTTGGGTTATACCAATCGGATCTCGCGGTTGAAAAATTGCAACTTCGTTGAAGATCATGCGCAATGGACTAATAGACAAGGCACGAATTTCAGCATTTTGATACACGTTTCACAACCAAAATTTCACGTAGAATACGATGCGCACAACGAAAATTACCAAAACTAACTCCTTACGAAGATATTTAATGATTCTTGATGCGTAAATTCAAACCACCCGCTCATGAAAACTCAATGCTCTACGTGACTCACATCGCGCGCTAAACGTTATCATGACAGTCTCTGCGATATAAAAATCTGGCAACCACAATCTTGACGCTTTGGCTCAGCTATAGCAAGTTGTTTATAGTTTGAACAACACATGGTGGGAAATGAACATTGCTCGATTGCAAGCTTGCTGAAACCGTTGTAGTGCGCGATTTGACTCACGTAGAGCTTTGAGTTTCTTGTGAGCGGGCAGTTCAAATTCCTCGTAACCAATGTGATATAAAAATGTTAATATCTTTGTTAGGAGTTGATTTCGGTAAGTTTCGTTGCGCGAAACGTGTTTTACGTGAAATTCTGGTCAAGAAACATGTATCAGAATGCTTAAATTCGTACCTTGTCTAGTGGTCCATTAAGACGCCAAGATCGAACCTGGATCGCATTAGTGAAAATTCCAGCACGCTGGCCTCTCGCAAGTCGCAACCTCTGAGTGATATGGATTGAAGCATGACTGCATTGGTTCAGCAGGCCAATTTTTTTTATCCCTATAGGTATCTCAGATTATCCTACGGTATCGGTCCATCCACAAGTCCTTTTGGTTGATCTGACCGAGAAAGAGTAATTTACAGTGACCGAAAGTTACCGCAAACACGGTACAATTTTTAACAGTGTAGAATTCTGCCGAGGAAACTAAAGTTTTTACAAAAGTTTTGGAATGAGAATTAACTACCAACTACCATTGCAGGGTTGCTGAAGTTGAAAAATTCATTTTATTTTGTTTGGAATACATTATATTTTAAAGAGAGTATATTTTTACGAAAAAGATTGAAATTCCACGTGAAAATTACCCTGTGAAGCTCATTGGTTTACCTCTTTCATTTACTTCATTCTGAATGTAGAAGTTGCAAAATCATGGCAACATCACAAAGTCAGTTCATTTTTAAGCAATTCAGTTTAATTTTCCCTTAAAAAATGTAATTCTCTTGAAATCCATGAATCATCCCAAAGGCCATCCATACATTCTAAGTAAACGATGAGAAAAGCCTTGTATATTAACGACTGTGGGTTTATGTGTTTTTTGTGTAGCGCAGTTGGACTTGAGTACACAGAGGACATAACGTTTGCGGGGATCAAGGGTTTCCGCTTCTCGCCGGTGGACTCGTTCATGGAGGCCGTCGACAGATACCCGGAGAACAAATGCCACTGTCCTGGCCCTATGAAGAAACTCACCATGCCCCTAGAGTGCATGGAGAAAGGCGTCCTCGATATCTCCAGCTGTCTAGGTAAACCCAGAACCGACCTTTTAAGGCTACACTATAATGCACTGGAAAGAAAAACACATTGGATCTAGATTCCAGACTCTTGAAAACATTGACAAGAAAAAATACTCTTGCCTTAGATTTTTGCTTCAATCAAAAGGAAATCCGCTTAAATTAAGAGGCTTGGTTCTTGATTTAAGCTAGATTCTGATTGAATCAAGAGTATTTTTTCTTGTCGATGTTTTTAAGAGTCTGGAGTCTAGATCCAATGTGTTTTTTTTTTCCAGTGTGGGATACAACTATTTTAACGTTCATGTCGTGGGGTTGCATAAACACCCGCTTGAAGGCGATTTTTCCGTGCAGGTGACAGGGTAACTCAGTCTCACAGAGAACATCAATCCGATCATTGAAATTTTATGTTTGTCGGGTGGAGATAGATGACGTAGGTTAATGGCATAGCGTGATTGGTCGATTATGTCATATCACTGCTTTGTCGTGCCTTTGTTTAGTATAATGGACGACATACTGTCGGAAACTCGAAAGGTTGATTCCACCTGACATGAGCATGACAAAGTGGCTACAAGACTTAGTTGACTGCTTACACTACGCCATTTAACCTGTGCCATCTATCTGCGCCCTACAAACACAAACTTTCAATTATCGGCCTGCAGAGCGGTTAGACGCACCAGTCAAATAGTCACAAGTTGGATGCTTTGATGATCAGCCCAAAGTGACGTCATTTTTTTTCAATATAGAGCGAAAAGCTCGCTTGGAGTATATCACCTGAAAGAAATTATACTCCGTGCGAGCTATTTCCTCTACAGCGGAGGATGGGATAACGTCACCTTGAGGTGATCATAAAATTAGCCAATTGAATCTTTTCATCAGCGATATTTTCTAAGCATTTTCTAAGCAGTTAGTATTAGTAAAATCAATAGTATAAATATAGATCTATGATAGACTGTGGCTTGGTTAACTTTATTAAAAGTTAGGATAAAAATAATTCAAATTGACAAATTAAAAGTTCAAAATGATAACTCGTCACCTCATATGAAATATCTAATCTTACTTATGTCCTGTTTTTGTAAATTTAAATTAAATGCACGTATTAAATGAGGGGCTTGGAGGACAAGGCGCATAAGTGCAGTTTTTGCCATTTCAAGAAATATGAAGTTTCAAAATTGCATGGATCCTTGTGGCGGAAAGAAAGTTCAAACTGACTTTTTGATGCTTAAAAAGTGGAATTTTGATGCGAATTTTTCACAGAATATGCAATGAGACTAGTTTTGAATGAAATCATTAATATCTCAATTTTTTACAAAAACTACATTTATGCGCCTTGTCCTCCAAGCCTCTAAAATTTAATATTCCTAATTATTTATACATATTGACGGTGTAAGTCCTCAACCACGTATCTCGTTTGCGGTGTTTGGAAATCTCCGCTCTCATTTTATTTATTTTTAAGGAGAACAAATCAACATCACTCTTTGAAGTTTTTGCAGAATTTTCTTCGCGGAAGAAGGAAAAATCACGGCATTTTTTAGGAATCGCCATTGAGTAGTTTCTCATTTAAAAAATGAAGTATGACAGGAAGTCTGCCTTGTCGCAAACCGGGATACATGGCTGTGGTCTTACACCGTCAATATTTGGAAAAGAGGAAAATGAGAAGAGATAGAATAAAAAATCAAACGTGTCGATTTTGATATTTCATAATTTTCATTGCGCGTTGCCTTGCCTCTATTTTCTTGCTACGCACACTTGTATTCTTCGAAGGACCAATTGCAGTAATATTGCTGATTGGAATTTATGATTCGGAAAAATCTTATTATTGTTTGGCAATCCATAACTTTTATTCATCAAGATTATATTGTGGGACTCAGCATACTGACTCATCACTACAATCTATTTCACATAAATTGTTAGGTCTTAATCAAAGTATGAAAAATGTTACGTTAACATTATAATAATTTATAATTTTACATCATTAATTTTTCTCAAGGAATGAAATTTGATGTAAAGGAGCCAACTGTTACTTGAAAATAAGGAATTGTACATAACTTTATATAACCAGAGGGTTAATATCTAAGTCAATTAATTGTAAGATACCAGAAACCAGAACTTAATTCATTAGAATATTAATGTAAGATTCTTTCACGGAATTTGTAAATGAAGGACATGTGGTTATAGGAGCATGATGATAAACGTCGGCTTCAATAAATTAAATATTCATCAATAAAAGTTTAAGAATAAGGCGGATTTTATCCGGAATACTCTATCTGTGAGGGTTAAGATTTGAAATGAATGGGAAGAAGTAACGTGCATTTCAACAACATTTTATTTATAATTAGAATAATGGACAGAATTTAAACAATTTCGGAAGTACAATAAGGTGAAAAATAAATCGAACACGATCAAGAGTTTTGTTAGATATTAGATTGATCTCTTGTTGCAGTAGAAAATTAAGGACAAAGATAAAATTTGCGAAAACATGAAAACAGCTTGAATTCATAAAAAATTGATGAACCCTCAAGATTTTTCTTGCCCCAAATCAGTTTTAAAAAACAAGCGCCAGTATCTTTATTAATCTTGACTGAGTATGAGGCAAAGCCTCTACAGGCATATAGCCATTGTCAGTTCAGAGAGATTCGAAGTTTGCAACGCCGGCTTTCGTCTACATTTTGAAATAACGAACCATTATTTCTCACTCCTTTCAGAAACAACACGTGTCTTATTACTTTACCTATGCAAATAGGTGCTTTCATGGATGAGGCGAAAAAATGGTTCCTAACTTCAAAATGAGGTCACAAAGGTATTCCCAGCCTGCGCATAATTTTTAGACGAAGGAACATAACTCCTACAAAATTAACTCGAAAGATTTAATATTTTGCAAGAATATCATTGTGTAATTTTTGTCCAAAATTTTACCGATTTTTGAGGTACACTGGAAAAAAAAAACACATTGTATCTAGAGTCCAGACTCTTGAAAACATTGACAAGAAAAAATACTCTTGATTCAATCAGATTTTTGCCTAAATCAAAAGGAAATCCGCTTAAATTAAGAGGCCTGGTTTTTCATTTAAGCTTAAATCTGACTCAATCAAGACTATTTTTTCTTGTCGATGTTTTTAAGAGTCTGGACTCTAATCCAATGTGTTTTTTTTTCCAGTGTATGGTCAGAGGAAAAATTCGTATATTTCCACTTAGAGGTACACCATACTTTTATGATTAAAATAAAATTTGCGGGTGAAAATTTTACAACGTACAAATATAGTTTCGTACTTTCGTGCGACCAGGCAACGACGAATTTTCCAAATGAGATAAAAGCAAAACAAAATCTCATCGGTTACGGTGGGGGTCACATCAAAATAAAGTATCTTAGGAACCATTACCGAAAGAGGTAGTAACTTCGAGCAATAAGCCGACATGTCTTAGCAGCCGTTGGTGAATCCCGTTTTCCCCTTGCATTTCTGGTTGTAGACGGTCCAGGCGGCGAACCCGTCACCTCGGAGCCGCTTCGTCTCCTTGAAAATCTTGCGGGCGCACTCGAAATCGTCCGTGACGTCATCGTTCCTGAAATCCGAGCAGCGCTTGTTGCAGGCCTTCCCGGCGGCGCCGGACTCGTTGCACCAGTATCGGTCGTTGATCTGGATGATCCCGTGGTCCTTGGACTTGTCCGTGTTCTTGTTCCCGACGGCCGCCGTGTTGTAGTGCGACTCGTTCTCGGCGATGCACACCCAGATCGGCACTTCGTTGGCCGCGAAACCCATAGACTTCAGTTTCCGCGCCAGCTCGCACTTGTTGAAGACCTTCGCGTCGGCTAGGAAAGAGACAGCCAGAACGAGACTGCAGAGGAGAACGCAGCTTGAGGAATTCATCTTCAAAAATTTGAGGTTAGGAAAGATTAGGTTAGGTTAAGTTTAGGTTAGAAATGAGGGAGTGTCAACTCCCTGCAGGGCTTTGAGAGAATAGAGAACGCTGGCGGGTGGATGTCGCAGAGCGCCAAAGAGCACTGGAAAAGTGGCTTTTAGGTATGTATGGAAGTGTAGAATAGATGAGGTATAGAACAACACAAAACGTAGGAACTAAACAGGCGATTCTAACGTAGCACGGAATAAACTTTAATCGCGAATAACACTAACTCTGGTGACCAGGCACGACGAGGGTGAAGATGCGACTTGGATAAGACGTGCTCGGCGGAGCTTTTAAATACTAATTGATTAAGCGTGCTGAAAGTGCCGTTTAAAAATGGAGGGAGGAAAAAAAGCCCAGGTAAGCCAAAGAAACGGGGATACCCCAAACAGCAGAGCTGATTCTCCCCCGAGTCGGTGGGCTTTAGATAAGATGGTTTGGGAAGTCCGCAGAGCTGCGGGGAATAAAAATCAGTTGAGCGTCGCGGCGCGGCGCGGCGGGCGTCGCTGACCGCGCCGCGTGATATTCCCCTTTGCCGCGTCGCGCGTCTCGGGGGCGTAGCTGAAACGCGTGAAAAAATGCTTCAACTCGGCCGAGCGCCGCGAAATCGACGCGTTGCTCACGAGAAGGAAAAAGATTAAGTCTTAAGTTGCTCGTTTGTTTTGATCGTCTTCATCAAAAATGAAAGTCTCTGCTGAAATGAGTTTGTGAAAATAGTAACGTGATCTTAATTTTCACAGGAAAACTTTTTTACTCTTTTTTTTTGGCGTATAATACACTAGAAAAAACAACAACAAAAACACACACATTGGATCTAGAGTCCAGACTCTTAAAAACATCAACAAGAAAAAATGCTCTTGATTCAATCAGATTTAAGCTCAAATCAAGAACCAAGCCTCTTAATTTGAGCGGATTTCCTTTTGATTTAAGCTTAAATCTGACTGAATCAAGAGTCCTTTTTCTTGTCAATGTTTTCAAGAGTCTGGACTCTAGATCCAATGTGTTTTTTTCCAGTGTTAAGAAAATAGTAACGTGATCTTTATTTTCACAGCAAAACTTTTTCACTCTTTTTTTTTGGCGGATAATACATTTGGACCGCACTGACATTTGAAAGGAACCAAGCCTCATCAGCTGTTGCCAAATTTATCTGTGCAATTTAATTTTTTTTTTCACAAAAGTCCGTTTGTGCGAATTCCTTCGAAAATGTTAAGGGATTTGCTTTGTACTATGCAGAAAATTTACGGAAAACACACAAATTCGCACAGCCGTTTTCATGTAAAAACTTAGATCCCCCAGTTAAAAGCAATAGCTAATGTAACTTGGTTCCATTCTGCTTGACTATGTCTGTTTGTGCTTCCGATGAATCCTGGTTTTCGTCCATGACATTTATTTTGTCTAGGTCGTTATAGGTGTGAGAGCCCTCCTGTTCTGATTTTCGTCTTTTTTTCATTGATTTTTTGAAGAGTATAGCGATATTTTTCAACGCACATTGACATGAAAACTCTCTTATATACTTTTTGAAATCTGACACTAATTAAGAGTTAAATGATGGATCGATATTTTGCCTCCGATGCGAGATTTATCTTCATTAGATTCTGTGCTAAGACATCGCAAAAGGTAACAAAGCAACGATGAGGAAAATGAAATCGAAACTACGAGGAAAAGCGGAGCAAATTAACGATCTGCGATGATGCTGAAAGTGCACACTTTGTAGTCTCGCCTAGTACTCGCGCGGCGTGGCGCACAGTGGATCGAGTCAATCAGAGGTCGGACATGGTATTTTTTACTAAAACTGCAAATTTTTATGTTTATTTCGTCATATTTTAAATTTTTAGGGGTATCCCTGGAAGGAAATTTCATGAGGAAACTAGTGAAACCACTTTTCAGAACCTCGAAGTTTTGTATGAACGGAGTTATAAGCTTTTAACGTTTCCAAATTTTGTCCAACCTCTCCCATCGACTCGGTCCACCGTGCGGCGCTGCGACTCGCGCTATGCTGTCTACACTATTAACCTGGTGAGGGAAAAACACTTAATAAAATTCTTAGGTCAATGAATAAGGAACTCTACTGAGAGGTTTTCATAATCGATTGTATAAGATACTCACACATATTTTAATACAAATCTACAAAGATTACCGTATACCGTGTTGATATTCTTTCATAATCTCTGTTCTGTCAACTTTAAAATAACCGAGAACTTTCAGAGATCATACCAGTTAGTTCCTTCGGATCTTATATTTAATTCATTGTCTGCATGCGTTTAGGCTGTTCAAGGGTTTGGTTAAACCACAAGGCTGTAGAAACGTATTCTATTAGTCAAAATAAGCACTTGAAAAAAAATACATTGCATCTAGAGTCCAGACTCTTGAAAACATTGACAAGAAAAAATACTCTTGATTCAATTGGATTTTTGCTTAAATCAAAACGAAATCCGCTTAAATTAAGAGGCTTGGTTCTTGATTTAAGCTAGATTCTGATTGAATCAATAGTACTTTTTCTTGTCGATGTTTTTAAGAGTCTTGACTCTAGATGCAATGTGTTTTTTTTTCCAGTAAGTGTTTTTTCCTCTATTAATTTTTTCGAAAAATTTCCCGGGAACACGGCCCCTCTATATTTCTGGAGAAATAACCGTTTTAATGCCATTTTTGCGATGTATCTGGACCTATATTCATGAAAATTTCCCCCGCTCCACGATTTTTAGCACTAGATTTGCGTATTGCCTTAAAAATACTCAACTCTTAAATTGGAAGGGGATTTCAGGGGGTTTGAGGGAATACGAGAACCACGTTTTTCGCCTTGAAAGGTCTGAGTCAACGTGATACCCCCACTTAACTTAAGATTTGGATTTTTTAAAGGGTAAGGATGATAGCTGATATTACTGTTACATCACGGGAAAGTAATGTATGTATCGACTTATACTCATTGATGGAGAGGTGATATGTCCTTGTTGTTTTTTCGATCCAATTCGATATAATGACGAATCCCTATGATGACTTCACTGCTGATAGCGTCTATTGCAGGGCTGAAAATCATGGGGGGGGGGAAGTAGCTAAATTGATGAGTTTTGTGCATAACTCCGATTTTCAGGAAAATATATGATTTCCTTGAAAATTCAGGTTGAGCGTGCTCCAAGGGGCACATATTTATCCATATGTTGTGTCAGAACGGCATGCTATATACCGCATCGATTGATTCCATTTTCTCAGCTACTCGTCATTTTTCTCGGATTTTGAGGTCGCAATATTATTGTCAGGAGACTAAAGCACTCACTTACCAATTTTAAGAAAGAAATTTAACGTAATAAAGGCGTGGTTTTTTTAGAGAGAAAATATCGCATTCGAGTGTAAATTCGACATCAGTATCGAATGCGATGTTTTCTCTCTAAAAAACCACGCTTTTATTACGTTGAATTTCTTTGTTAAAACTGGTAAGTGAGTGCATTAGTCTCCTGACAGCAGAATTGCGATCTCAAAATTGGAGAAATATGAGGAGTAGCTGAAAAAATGGAACAAATTGATGCGATATATCGCAAATCGTCCTGACACAAAATATGGCGTCTATAGAATCACCTTAATGTATTTACCCTCCTTCCGGATTTTTTGAAGCCTTGATTGTACAATTCGAGGGGAGGTGGAACTAAATATTTAGAATTAAAATTGCGCTTCGTAGTTTTTGCACGTAGATTACGTGCACAGCTTTTGATACTGAGGAAGAAAAGAAGTGTAAAGCTGGGATTTCCGTGAGACTGGCGGGACGGCAACGCGCGGTCAGTGCCCGCGCGCGCGCTAGTCTAGATTTCAGCGCGTGTTGACGCTCAAACGTGACGAGTCTCGCTCAAATATATTAAAAGCAATTAATGGCATGCGGCGCTCAGCCTGCTTGCAGAAAAACCCGACATAAGGGTTTTACACTGCAAGGGAAGAGATAAATACCCTGATGAGTAATTGCGTGTTTTAAAAAGGAGCTCTCCCATGTTTCATCCAAACATCTTATACTTCTGCTCTTGTAAAAATTGCAAGGAACTGAAAGGTATTTCGTAATCGGTTGGTCATTTTTTAGGAAAAATTTTTAAACGTGAAAAAAAATGACAAAAATTGAGGAGCTTTCCGGAAAAAGGGCACATAGCAAAAAATCGCGTTTGAGAAAAATACATTTGAAGTTTCCATCATTATTCTATGGCCACTGACTGTGACTTCCGTTCGAAATCGGGAGTCCAAGCTGCGATGTAAGTTATCATCAGTGACCGGAAAGTAATGAAGGAAACTTAAAATGCATTTTTCTCAACCATGATTTTTTGCTATGTGCCCTTTTCCCGGGAAGCTCCTCATCAGTTTATGACAGGCATAATTGACCGGTTTCCTTCCAACTATTGGAACAAAACGAGCAAGGAAATCAGGAACGTCGAAAAACAAAAACACGCATTCTTGTGTACTTTCATCGTCTATTTGTTTCCTGAATGAATGTTTTAAAAATATTGCCAGTAACGTAATACTGTTGAAATACGCATAATTTTGTTTTGAAAACATATTTTAGTCGAAGTATATAAAGTGAGAAAGGAATTCCTGTGAGATATTTTGGAAATTTTTTTATTGAAAATAAATAAAAAGTAAAAATGATAATAAAACAAGTCTACAAAACAATAGTAAAATGCATTTAAATTAAGACTGAAATCGCTAGAATGAAAAAACTCGAAGCTTTCCTTACTTAATTTTTTTCCGATATGATAAAACCTAAAATTTTAAAATGATTTTATGAGAAAAAATGTATTTCGAAAATAAGAGGACAAAATGTTAAAAATGTCGAGAACATCTGAAAAATTTCTGGATGCCCTCTAAAAACGCATAGTTGTGTCGAAAAAAAAATTCTAATTTAAATTTTCAAAATGAGAAAGGACAACGTAAGCGTTTTAAAAATATTTACCAAATAACGTGAACAATAATTTAATTCAAGTTTTACAAAAATCTCGGTCACTATCGGGTAGTCTCATTTTTGGCAACGGCAGAACACTCACTAGTATACCTCCCGACATCGGGCCCATTGCAGTGCTGTCCATAGACAACCCAAGCAGTAAAACCATTACCAGTCCGACGCTTGGTAGCACGAAAGACCCTGCGGGCGCAGATGAAGTCGTCCCTGATATCATCGTCCTCGAAGTCGGAGCATTTGTTCCCGCAGGCGGCCGGTCCGTCCTCCTGGACCCAGCACCAGTACCGGTCGTTGATCTGCAGGAGCCCGTGGTCCCTGGAGCCGTCCCCGTTCGGCGGGCCAACCGCCGATGTGTCCAGTCGCGACTCGTGCTCCGCGATGCACACCCACGTTGGGATGTCCTCCGGGGGTGCCTTCAGGGCGCGGAGTTTCTCGGCCAGCTCGCATTTCGTGAAGATCTTAGCCGTCGCCAGGGGGATGGCGATTAGGAGGAGGTAGAAGAGGTTGGCGCGTGGGGAGAACATGGCGATATGATGATGCCGGTGGGGAGGTCTAGAAATGATCGAGTCTAGGAATGACGAGGTTTAGGAACGGCTCGGTCAAGAGAGGGCTTGGTCCAGAAATGGTTGGGACCAGGAATGGGTAGGTCCAGGAAGAATGGAGTTCAGGGATGATTCAGACTAAAGATTGGTAAGTCCAGAAAAAGCTCGGTCCAGGATGGCTCGGTCAGAAATGGCTAATTATAAGCTCAGTTATAGCTAGGTCCAGGGATAACTAGGTTTGAAAATGATTCAACCCAGGGATAGATCCGTCTAGAGATCAATCATTCCGGTGATTCTACGTTGGATGTCCAGGTCCAGGAATGGGTTTGTTCAGGAATGAATCAGTCCTGGATTTGTCTTGATTCAAAATTAATTTGGTTTTGCAGCCAGGGGTTTCAAAACAAGTGATGAGGAATCACTAAGGAATACGCGTGCAGATAGCTGTGGGAATGGTTCCTGTAGGAATCCTAAATTGAGGCGCTATAAAATGCCAAATCAAAACGGTCAATTGGGGGCTAACAGACCGAGCTCACAGAGATCAACGCACGCACTAATTTAATTTTGAATTAGACGCACTGCGAAAAATCCTTTTTACGAGGCCTTTGTGAAAACATTGGACGATTGTCACTTTGAGATTGGCAAAATTAATTACCCATTAAAAAGTCGAACATTATATGACACTTGGAACTGCGCGGAAAAAATGAGCGGAAATTTAAAATTGATTGAAATACACACAAATATTGACAGTCATGTACTTTAAAAACCGAAATTTAGAGCACCAACACAGACACACGCACCGCGTTGCGCGCAATGGAATTCCAAAACCAAAACTCAAAAAGAGGGACAAAATAATTTTCGTGTCTAATTTAATTGCAATTTTGTATGAATGCAAAAATGACACAGGGAATATTCATTGTCCAATTCAATCGCAACAGAACTCAACACAACCAAGAGAAGTAACCGAGCATCAGGAGACACGCGCTTCAAGTTGAAAGTGAGAGCACATCGCGAACCAGGAATCGAGTACGGTAGTTAGAAAATATCATCGGATTTTTAAATATTGATGATCCCCGCTGACCCAGAAATACTGAGTCGATGACACGCATGGCAAGCGTATTCAAAGCGCGTGTTCTCGCATGATATAGAGAGAAAGGTATGTTATTCAAATGCATGCCTGAATTTAGTTTCACGCTAGGAGACAGCGGAAAGTGCGATTGGTCCTTGACGAGTATTTAGAGTTCGTACAACTAGAAGCAGCTCCCGCGATTCGCTCACCGGGCAAACAGGTTTGAGCAAAGTCGGGACGATCGTGATTTATACTTGAAGGAGAGGGAGGAATGCTAATTCAATCCGATTCCTCACTTTCTTCTTGCATCTCATTTTCCGCTTGTTTATTTTTTCGCAAATTCTTGGCCGGCCGCTCCGAAAATTTGCATGCGCATTAAAGCCGTTCGGATGAGTAAACCGAAAGCCTTTCAGGCGAATGAGTCCGAACAAAAAGGATTTTCGTTTAATACCAACAGCGGACTACTCAGTGTCTCTGTGTAAAGGATCCTAGATTAACTTTTTTTTCCTATTCTCAGAGTGTTGTTGAGCATTGTTTACACTGGAAAAAAAAAACACATTGAATCTAGAGTCCAGGCTGTTGAAAACATTGACGAGAAACATACTCTTGATTCAATCAGATTTTTGCTTAAATCAAAAGGAAATCCGCTCAAATTAAGAGGCTTGGTTCTTGATTTAAGCAAAAATCCGATTGAATCAAGAGTATTTTTTCTTGTCGATATTTTTATGAGTCTGGACTCTAGATCCGATGTGTTTTTTTCCAGTGTACCCTAAAAAAGCCCAAATACTTATTTAAAATGAGTATACTGCTTGCCGTGTGAAGCCATTTCTCTCATTAGTATGTCACTCTCTTCACACGGTCCATTCCAGGTCCTTACAAAATGGATGCACGTATGGGTGGCTATAAAATTTTCTTTTTAATTCCAAAAAAGTGGTTAAAATATTCTGAGGTATGACGGACTTTCAACACAAGAGACTTACATTTTTGCTTGTTGAAACTGTTATCCGAAATTTTCGATGATTCATTTGCTAGCTCTTCATACCTTCCCCTCCCCTGATAGCTTCCTTATCAAGCTTCTGAAGCTTGTGTATTCCGAAGATGGCTCGCTATTTGCTCAGCTATGATCTTTTTAGGATATACCTTAATACACCACCCCCCCGCTTTTCTAAATAATCGAACAAAATTCTGTCACGAAAAAAGAAAGCTCGGCTCAGATTCTGCCCAACAATTTTTCTGTTTAGAACACGTTTCTCTCTTATATTAAAATTCCTTGACAACTATCTCAATATGATATCAATTTTCACATGTCATTTGGATTTTGTATACTTTAAATCTCAATACAAAATTCAATGACAGGTACAACGTTAGATCATCGACCGGAGAATATATCCGAGGAAATCAGATCAGTTAGTAGCCGCGCATTGCCGAATGAAGCATGTCCTTGCAAGAGCACGAACGCATTAATAGAAACTCATAAGAGGAAAATCACATCCAATCACACCTGAATCAGTTGATTTTGAAATCTAAAATATAGATTTTATCATGAGTCCTAAGTTCCATAAAAATACTTATATTCTATGGTTCATCAAATAAGAGACATGTCTGTTTTAATATCGATGATCCATCTAATGAAACATGAAAACCGTGCAATGGAAAACAGGCCAGATATGCAAGGCGATAAAAACGTCGAAATGGATGAAACTCATACGCTTAACATTAAATAATAAGATGTCTTCAAACTTCTGACTCAAAAATTTGATAAATTCTTTTTTTATTTTTTCCTTTTTTTTTATTTTTTATTTTTTATCATTTTTTTAATTTTAATTTTGTGTTTATTTTTTAATTTTTTTTTATTTTTACTGCATTTTCTTCATTTTTATTTTGTGTTTATTTTTTCCATTTTTCCATTTTTCCATTTTTCTTATTTTCATTTATTTTTTTAAATTTATTTTTAATTTTATTTTTTGGATACTTACTGTGACATTGTAGGCGCCCATTGCATTTGGTAAAATGTTCCGCTACTATTTTGATTACAGATGCACCGATCATTCTCTCTCGACCACATTTTTACAAGACCAGCCGTGTTTACTCACGAACCATCGAGGGTCTCAAGCCGGACCCACAAAAACATGACACTTATATGGACTTAGAACAGGTAATTTCTTCTGTCAATGTACATATTTTGCACTGAAAAAATATCTTACAATGAATTGCAGAGCACGTTTCGGTATTGAAATAGGTACATATTAAGGTGGTCCCTTTGTAATTATCGATCGCATGGATCTTGTAGCATTTACGAAACGTCTTGTTAGGCATAAGTGCTGTTAAATGAGCATTCAGAAAATTTCGAGGATTGTAAGCTTTTATAGAGAACTTAATAATTGAAGGCTTACTGGTCCAACTTGTCACGAATTTGTTGAGCTAATTTTTCAATGTTAAATATCTGGTTGGTTTCTGTTTGTTCATACTCAACGTGCGGGATAGCACAAACAATATTTAGCAATGAAGTATGAATTCGACCGATTCACATTATACATCAAATCAACGAAGTAATGAGATGTATCATAGCTTTTCAAATATTGAGTTTGCCTGACTGCCTGAGTGGATTCTATCGATGTGATGTGATGACCATGAAATTGATTTTCCGATTTAATTTGTTACAGTATACTGGGACTCCATTGCGAGGGTACAGGCGATTCCAAATAAACATGTTTCTGCGGAAAAACGAGCATGTTCGTATCCTTAATAAAGTTCCGACTGCTCTCGTACCTATAGTATGGCTAGATGAGGTAAGTAATGATAGCATAAGATAATTTGCTATATTCATTTTTAAGTCGCAAGATTATTCCCGTAACTGTGCCGACCTTCAGGCATCGTAAATTGGGGATGAAACTGGGAATAATGGATATTTAAATCAATAAAAACCAATAGCGTCATGCAAATCGTAAATAACTCAATTTTAAAATTTTTGAAACCGCAGTATTTTTGAAAACAAACAAACAAATTTTAACATTTCCTCCGTTTGAAGTCAAACATCAGTATGAAACCCCATTGTTCGCATCGTCAAATTGCTACAACTTATACCAATACAATTATAGCGTGGATTACAATCAAATCGTCAGTATAACTCGTCGTTTGACGGATGAATGAACGTATCTACATTCCAATGTTGCAAAATTGACCAATACAATTCAATATTTTACAGGAATGTACCTATACCATTTTTGTCCAAAATTGTTCTGATTTTCGCATGAGATTGGAGGTAAAATCAGTGAAAGTTTCAGTTAGAAGTGGTCAAGATTCTCCTGGTAACAATGAAATTTGCGAGGGGAAATGTGGCAATAATGAAATGCAGTTACGTTCTTTCGTGAGGGGAACGACGAACTTCTTGGCGGTTGAGCCCTTTTGACAGTGAGTGACTTATCTAAAATTTAAGCATCAAAACACGATTCAAGACAAAGTGCAACGCACACATTATGTTCACAATTTCAAACCTGTATTCCAATTGCATGAAATTAATTCCAATTTAATGAAAAATTCTGATTTTCCAGGGATGTGAGTTAACTGAAAAGGAGATCGATCTTGTGAACTCTCTACTGTACAATATACTCAGGATAATAGCTGCTGTCAAATGGCTTTGGATGACAGTAGGTGTCTTGCTCGTGCTCGCTGGTCCGGCCATGTTCGTGTATAAAAGGCTCAAAGAACAAAATGAGAACGCACAAACAAAAGACGACGCTGAGCTGTCCGAAAAACTGCGGTGTGAAAAAAGCGAAAATAAAGTGCAGACGACAAAATAATCAAACCGCTTGGTAAAACCGCGATGTCAATGATTAATGAAAAGGAGAAAAAACACATGCTTCGTTCGTGGCATTGCAAAATACCCGTCTTTTTTTGCGGTTTTTGTTTTATTTATCGTTTTGTTTGTTTGTTTTTTTTATTTATATTTATTATTTATTTACTCAATTTCAAGAGAAATGAAAATGGACTTCTAAATTGGAATTGTATCTTTTTAGATGGCCAAGAAATCTCAAAATCATCGAATCGTTTCAAAATTCGTAATATTTTTCTCAATAGAAAGCATTGTTATCTTCAGATCAAGATTAACTGGAAAACTTATCGTAGTGAAAAGGATGAGATAAAGGTGCTTAAGAGGTACACCATGCTTGAGATTTTAATTTAATTGAAATACCACGAGTGGTATAATAAAAAACGCTCCAACTGGAGCAACCACAAAAAATTCCATATCATGTGCTACCTAGGTTGAACCCTACATGCATTTATCATTCCGTAATCTACCTCAGAATTCAGAGAAAGAAATTAATCAGAATAGGAAACAATTTCCTATACTTCCAGGGATAATTTTTTGAAAGTAATGTTTTGTCATTATTTTAGAATTCTTCAATCGGTGAATTTGACTGCAATTTAGTAAAATTTAAATATAGAGGTCTAATATTGTACTTTAAAGGACATGCTTCCATTTTATATGCCATATCTTCCTTGTAGCTTTATTTGTTATCGAAAAAGTTACCAACTTGTCAGTAGTAAGGTAAAGTCAATGCCAATGCAATTTTGTTTATTTTTATCATACTCATTAGATTGCATACTTTTTATACCGTCTGTTTTATAATTGTTTTCTAAAAAGCTCAACAATTTATTTTTGTAACTTTTAGTACACTGTAAATATATTTATTGAAATACCTTTCTTACAAAGTTAAGCTTGATTGAAAACTATATAATTTATTTTATATTGTGGTGACGTAACGAATTACTAGACATGATACAAAATCAAACCTCATAACACATGTTTCTTCATCATAATTACTTAAAAGATGATGACAGCACTGAAATTTTTCAAATTCAATTCATGAAAAAATTACGTTTTTGTGTGCGTCATTGCATCCGCAAAATACAAATAACCAAAGCTTACAAGAGTCAAATCGAATGCTAATCCGATTTTAGTATAATTTTCTAGAGAACATTTTCATTGTGTGCTGATTTTTTCCTCGGACAAGAATAGAGGTACCTTGTGCCTGACGGGAAGATTGTTTTTAATGATAACTTGACCCAAAACTGATTTAAGTTTTTTAACGAGCGAATAATTCAAATTTACTGATAGAAACATAAAATACGAACATAAATTTTTGACGTATAACCTAAAAATCTCGAAAGTTTTTGAAGTCTTCAATATGTTCTGCAAAAAATTTGATGAGGATGTACGCCTTGGAGACGTCTAATTCATACCCCGTCTATTGGTCCATTATTTTGACGCGATTGTCGAATAAAAAACATGAGATTCAGTCCCATGAATTAAAATGCAAAAATAGCAAAATGAAATAAAAGCAGCAAGAGCAACAAGACCCTTTGCATATCCCTCGGGGAGATGCAAATCGAGTGTACAATCACTATCGAGAACGATCACGAGTGAGGGATACTGGGTCGTTGAGTGGAAAGGATCCACCCTTCTGTGCTAGAACCACCTAAATACCACCAGTTTGAGCCCTAGATAAGTTGATTTTTCTTAACATGGTAGAGTTTCATGCTTCATCAGCCTGTAGTTCAATCACCGCCCGAAGCTTGCAAAAGCCACTTCGTGCTCTTCGACTCGAGATATTTTTATTGTGTACCAAAAGGAATAAGAGAGAAAACGGCTTTCTTCTTAACGGTAACTGATACCTATCGATAGCCGAATTGCAAAACAACGTATCTCCGTTTGCGACGTTGCAAACTTCCTGTCGTATTTCATTCTTTCATTGGGAAACTTGTCAACTTACTTTTTCGAAAGCTTCCTTGATTTTTCTTCTCTGTTAGTGGAATATTCTGTTCAAATTTCGAGCCATAAAGTTGGCTTGATTTTCTTCGAAAAAATAAAATACGAGCGGAGATTTTGAGAAACTGCGATGAAGATACGTGGTTTCCTACTTTAGACATCGCTATCCGGCGCCGCGATACCCAGTTACCACCCCTACTCTCGTTTGAACAGGTGACCCCCGGCCTGGAAGGGATGGCATCTCATTATTAGGGCTCCCAGCACAGGCTACGAAATTGATTTTCATTTTCAATTTTATAGACTGCTTCAGAGTTACGACGCAGAAAATTATCATAGTGTACAAATGGGGCGTGTTTCTCGAAAGGAAACCTATTTTATCAACTGTTGCCGAATTTTCTTTGACAATTCATTTTTTATAAAGAAAACAGTATATACCAACTCCTAAGAAAATTATGAAATTCGCAATCTTAGATCTTACATTTGAAACTTAGATCAATCATTTTTTTGTGAATTTGGAAATAAACTATAAAAAGAACCTACTGCAATTTTACCTCAAGAATTTACAGTGGTGCAGTTTCATTCATTTTCTCGTAAAAAATATTAATACGCAGGTTTGATTGGTTCGATACAAGTTCTAAACAATGACATCCCATTTGAATACAACTAAAAAATACTGAATATCAACCTAAGCTTCACTTTCAAACTAACAAAGCGTGGACTTCATTAGTGCCAAAATTGCTTCAATTTCTGGCAATACTCAACTTTTCGATCGCAGGGAATCATGTAAAATTAGGAAAACTCGAAAAACTGTAAAAGTTTGAATTAATTTTCAATTTCCTCGAGACCTTTGAGTATTATTACAAGCTTGGAAGATTGATGTACTTACGAGATCAAAATCACTGGCACCAGCTTGTTTTTCCTGAAATTTCACATAGAAGCAGTCAGTTACAATGCTAGTCTCCAGCTCCTAGAGGAATTCTATGCCCGCGACTGACAATTCACGTTACGTTTCCAGGAAACTTCGATAGAGGAACACACATCCACACGTTTATACACACACGGCACTCACTCACACTTTGAGGAAAAGCGGGACAGTTCCATACAATTACCGTTTCCGTGGCCGGCACTTGCTTTTCCTCGGAAACCGCGATTGCTGGAATGCTGGATCCACTCTGTAGTGCGGCTACACGTGGTGATTTTTTGAGCTGCCTCAGTGACTCTTTCAAACGGATGAGGTTACATTCATGAGATTTTCGGGGAATAGTTACGGCTTACCGGACTATTGTGTTTGCACCTACTCCGTTGCTGCAACGACGCTTTGAAGGTGCCAGGTTGCGATCATTATAATGAGATATTTAACATGGGTTAAACAGGAAAAAAGTGCTGATTCTTTGCACAATTTGGCAACAATGCTACACTCAAAGTGCCTTTGTAGCGAGAGCGCTGCTAGTTCTCTAGCATCCGGAGCAGGAGGCAAAATGAGATTTTAAGAAAATTTACTTTGTTAAGAAAGTTTTTTGGGATTTTCAGGGGCTGAGTATGCAACCTATGACTAATGATCAAGAATTCGTTAAAGACCTCTGAAGTTTGAACCATGATGATTGTTTGTTATTGCAATCTGATGTAGTGAGATTGATTTTCTTTTATATTTTTTTACCATGAAATTTCAATACTATACCACCATTTAGTCGACATACCGATTTTAGACGATCGAGACAATTACAGGCGATGGGCAATTCAAAGCAAACGTACACATTATTTCAACTTTATTGCGATACATTTCAATAAGTGAAACCCCTCCAGTCAGTGGATAGGCAACATACCCGGCGCTCAGATGCAGTAGCAATACATTTATTCATTTCAATAATTGAAGCTCCTTCAGTTGGTAGATAAGCAACACATTCAACACTTCTATGCAGTCGCTGTAATTTTAGGTTGTAATTACAATTCATTAAATGCAACCTGGGTTAAGAGGCCATCAGTAATGAGTAAGCCGGCACTTGAAAGGTAATTTTTCACACTACTAGCTTCAAAGCTCACATGGAGGATTAAGTCGGATATTTTACTAGCTTTGCTCGGGTAAAGAATAAGGGCCAAGTTTTGAATGGAGTGAACCAAAGTTTCCTCTATTTCTCGGTTTTAATGGAACATAAAGTGTCTGAATGTTTTCTCGTGTTTACGTTTCCAAATATTTTATAGCCTTCTACTCGTTTATGTTGACAGGTAAGGGTTTCAATACCTCGACAGTAATTAAATCTATGAAGCATGAGGCAAGTTTTCGCGTGCAAGGGTGTAACGTGAGGTGCAGTTTTTACTAGTACGTCGCGCCGCTGCAATATATGCCCTGTTTTGAGTATCATTAGAGAAAAAATCGCCGCACACTTTTGAGCAAGCATTTGAGAAGAGGTTACATTCTCATTCAGCGACCATCCTGTTAAAAATGGAGGTTTTGGACCCTCTTCCGGAATTTCTGTCCGCCCTCAGAAATTACGTAGCGTGTTGGTTATACCTTCAGTCATTTGTCTGTTGCATAGGATCCCCCGATATCGATGGTGAAAACTGCGAAAATGGAATCTCGGCTTGCCGCGTTGCAGACTTCGCGTCAAATACTATTTTCTACATTAAAAACACCTAAACGGTTCTTTTTGGAAATTTCAGTGATTTTTCTTCTTTGATATTAAATAGTCTGTGAAAACTTCAAGCCATGATGTTGGTTTGGTCTCATTTTAAATAAAATAGGAGCGGAGATTCGACACACCGCAATCGAGATACGCATGTTTACAGTTTCACCGTCGATACCCTTTTTGTTTTCTTTGTCTATCGCTTTTTCTATCGATTGGACGTATTTTTGCGAAATGGAACTATGTGCAAGTGGAAAGATGGGGTGTGCTCGTTAAAGCTCGGGCCATAACAATGAATGACACTTTAAAAGCGCCAGTGACGTCAGCGGTGCACTGGGTACGAGGAGGCGATACACGAGCGGCGACGACTAGGTCGTCAGTCTTTAACTCATGAGCCGTGTCCACAAGACTCTTGTCATATGCCCACGGCTCACGAATTGGACCGCGTGAAACAGAAAGGAACCAAGCCACATCAGCTATTGCCAAATTTAATTGGGCAATTTAATTTTTAACATGAAAACAATTGCGCGGATTTCCGTGCAAATTTCAGTGAAAAATCTCCATAGTTCGAAGAAAATTCCTTAATTTCAAAGGAATCCGCACAAACGTTCTCTCGTAAAAAATTTAATTGTCCGGTTAAATTTGGCAATAGCTGATGTGGCTTGGTTCCTTTCTGTTAAACTCGGTCCAGTTAGCGCTCAGTTCCTTTTGATTTAATGTCAAATCCCTTTTCCATTTTCTCAAAAGGAACTATATCCACTGACCACGTTGTTCCTTATGCAGCCCAAACGAGCACACCCCATCTTTCCACTTCCACATAGTTCCTTTTAGCATAAATACGTCCAAGTTCAACAGTCAGCCCACCGGCGCTTCGGATTAACAAGGGATAGGGAAGATAACAACACGGCTGGAGGGGAGACTCGAGTAATAACAAAACAAGGGCTGCGCTCAGCTGGGCCCGAACGGGCGGGCGTGACGTCGTGACGTACGCGGCTCCTGTTAGTTCATTTGACTAATTACGCATGGCGCGCTCCACCGCCCTGCCCGCCGCCGCGCCGGGGAGCAATATCTGCCGACCATGAATCGCGAACGCCCGCCACGGCCACCTTCCAGACGGATATCGGACGCGGGCGAACGCGGACCCGACGTCACGTGACAGTTTCCATGGCGCCAAGCGAGGCTTCCCCGACGCCCGGTGGGACGCGGGTCCGACGCCCGAGCCGCCGCGCCGGCCAGAGAACATACTCGAGCCAATTCCGCATCGATCAGGATTGGATCGACGCGATACAGTGGCGAAGCTAAATCGACTATCGATATT